ACAGCACAACTGTGGCTGGGGTCTCCATGGAGACTGGCCCCAGCCATGCAGGAAGGGTTTGCTGGGAAATGGAGTTAGCTGCTGCCCAGATCCACCATTTTGCCCACCCCTGCTGTACAAAGTTGTCAACTGGAAGATATAATTACCAGGGTATTTTAACTGTGCCCATAGCACAGGCTGTTGCAGACTGTGGGATGCTCAAACTAACTTTAAACAAAGTAGGTCAGATACCAGAAGTAGTTTAGCCATGATCAGCATGGTCTAATTTACCTTTCTTGGCAGGTTTATTTAGCCTACACTGTAGTCCATCCAGCTGTGGCTAGAGTGCTTCTCTTACTTGAGCTAGTGTGGGTATCCTTGTGCGTAACTGCCATGTTCAGTGTAGACATACATTTTCATGTTTATTTTGTAAAACTTTGACGTTTTTAAACAAATATGAATTTTCTATTCAAAGTTCACTTGGTTTTTCATTCCTCTAGAAATAGACTGTGCTGTAGAAGCCACATGTCCAGCACAAGCTACCTTATAAACAGAGGTGCTCAATCCCTGGCCTGTGAGCCAGATCTGACCAATGGAGCCATGTCATCCAGCCCTGGACAGTTCCCTGTGGGTCCAGATATTTGGCAGTGGGGGTTTAGTGGCACTGTTAATTGCTCCCCTGCTGCCAGATTTCCAGACCAGTGAGGAGCCCCAGAGGTCAGATAATGTGGCCTTGTATGCTAGATCACTCCAGTACATGACTGGATCCAAGTGCGCAGGGTAGGGTCAGGTCAGGCCAGGCTGGCACATAAGGTTGGGTTGGGTTGGGTTGGATTGGATTGGATTAGATTGGCCTGGAGTGCAGCTGGGTTTTGCCCCCAGGGGTTGCATCTATAGACCAACCTCACATAGAAGCTGGACTGCAGACTTACTCTGCACCACTCATCTGGCCTGCAGGGCAAGAAGATTGAGCACCCCTGTTCTAAAGCATTTCTGGAATCACTCATAAGGCCTGGTGGGAGCTGCCTTCAGAAAGAAAGATGTCTGAAAGGGATGTGGAAAAGAATAGATAAGACTGTATGAGGCTTTTGGAGGTACTGGGGGACTCCTGTGTATATGTTCATGTGTGTGTAAAGTAGCAGAGATGAAAGGCTGGTCTTTAAGGTCATGTATTGGACCGAAAAGATTTCCTAAAGGTGGATTTGTTTTCTTTGCTATTTTTATGTCTGCAGGATGGCTTGATGATATTGGCTTACCTCAATACAAAGATCAATTTCATGAATCCAGGGTGGATGGGAGAATGCTTCAGTACTTAACTGTGGTAAGATGGCTTGCCATAAAATCCATTTCCTCCATTTGGACAGACTCTGAACCCTTGAATTTGCTCACATTGAGAGATGTGGACCTGGAACATCTGCAGAAAGAATTTGAGTAGCTCTTCAGCAATTTTCCTGTTCATCTTGGGCTTATTTAAAATGGTAGAAGTAAAGATCTTTGCAAGAAAAAATACAAACACAGTCATCTTTGCCCTAGGAATAGGCTAAAGGAGATTATGTGACTAGAGTTGGTTTCTGTAGGATGGATGTCTACCCATTCCGGACCAACACAGTGAAATTAGGGATAAATTGAGCCAGGATTTTTTTCTATTCAAGGGTAACAATGTTTAGCAAGTAGAAACCATCACTGCATATGATACGTAGTGGGTGCATCTATATGTGCCATTAACATCCAACTATATGTCTGGAATTTATTCCTGGGAAGCTCCTGGGCATGCAGTTTACATGTGCACCTGGAATGCATCACACTGAGCCAGGTCAGAGCAGCCTCAGCTGGCAGGGGACCTGGTGGGGGTCAGACTGCCAGTCTAGGGTTGCTCTAACTGGGCTTAATGTGCTATAGAGGGGCTGGTTGGGGCACGAGGGTGCTTCAGTGCAGGGCTAGCTGGCAGGCACCCTCAGACTCCATCCAGCTGCATCAGCATCCACACGTGCTGCTGCGCATGAAAAACCAAGTACTAGCCTGCTGCAGAGATTTATTAGTTTCCTGAGCCCTAATAAGGGTGCATGTATAAATGCTGAGATGTTTACTGCATAGCTAATTAGTCAACTCTGCAGTAAACATCTCACGCAGATGTGCCCAGTTAGACATTTGCCAAGCTAGTATCACAGCTGTGCAAGCTACAGCAATGTTTAAATATTTGTTGCTGGTATATGCTAGAACTCTAGCACCATTCTTTCATGTAATTTTTGTTTTGTAACAGCTATGAATGTATTTTGTAGCAATTTAGCATTTGCTGCAGAAAAGCATGGATTTCCTCCTTTAAAGGAGAAAAGTGTGAGAAACCACAGGTTTCCCCTTGCAGACTGAAAGAGTTCAAGCCTGCAAGGGGCTGCTTGGAGCTAAGGGGGAAGGGATGCAGAGTACACACATCATGCACATGGTAGCCAGGCAAGGTGGTAGAGAGCAGTTCCTACAGCTCCCTCTAGGTAAGTGGATGGGGATGGGGATGTGGG